ACCTTTAAGCCGGGACCTTTAACCGTACTGTCTGTGATTTACAGTAAACTCGCAATAAGACGGGCGCTCTCTAAGATGGACACCTGGTGTTGGTCAGTCAGTTTACGTAAACCTCTCTAAGACGGACAACGGACACTTTTGAAAGTAAATTGCAAAATTGTTAATATTTTGTAGTCTTTCTCCAGTTCGCAAAGTGTATGCTGTTACGCTTTTAGACCATGAAGCCTTGGAAGTTTGCCTATAATGAACGATTGATTGCCTGATAAGAAAATTATTCCTCCTTTCTGTTACTAGGCTCCAGTTTTAGCTGTTTTGCATAAGTTAAACAGACGTGTATTCAATGCGAATGAGTTAGAAGCCGGACATCCCCAAGGGAACGCTTAGGTAGATTTTGTGACATTTATTGTGCAGTCATACTTCGACACTCTTTTACGTTTACGGTGTTATCAGTGACATTCTGTGGAGCAGTTGTTTCAGTGAAAGTTATGGACCAAAATTTTAACGACATTCGTTAAGCGCAGAAGAAGTTATAAGGTGCGTATAACTGTGTATATATAAACACTTGGAGAGTTTGCCAGACACGAGTTCACAAATCTTTCATTGGAAACCTTGCCAGACAAATAAAATGAAACTGAATGTAAAAAGTGAAAGAGAAATAGTGAAAAGTTCAACTTCTAATTAAATCTTCTCTTATGGTTTAGAATAAACTATTCTTGAAACTGAGAATGCTTTGATCAAAGCTGTGTAAATCTACCTGAAACTGTGCATGGAACCTTGCGTTTCCTGTATTTATCTCACCTATAAGTATTGTATGGAATATGTGTGAAAATCTTCATTATGAATCGGTATATTTCAAAGAGCTACACAACGAGCAAGAATGCTATTGACCGACAATATGCAGAGCGGGGGCAGCTGTAGTGTCAACTATTACTAGTTTACAATGTGTAAATACTGGTCAAAAGGTTCCTTTACCTCTCATTTTGTTTATATACGCTAGTTGGAGGAAGCCACTAGAAGAGGTAAACTAAAATCACGACGATGTTTAAACTTGGTTCTTTACGGTGCTCCGCAGTAAGTTATGTGCGTAAATGCAGCTTAATATTCATTTAACACGTGTAGCTACTGACAACCTGGTCCCCTTTTGGAGAGAAAGAACTTTTATTATGTTCTTTGCAAAATGGAAAGGAATTGTGAAGAAAATGGATAACGTTGGCGACAGAGTTCATACCTTCAGTGGCGATAAATGCCCTTGGTTTGGAACAGGATTCTACAGTCAGTCGCGTGAATACTAAAAGAAAAATCACTTGAGCTGCTCTCATCATATATCCTGCTGCAACAAACAGTTCCATGCTCTAAACTAAAAAATATTGACAACAATGAAAAGATCTTAGAGCACATTCCGAGATAGAAACATCGTCTACATATATACTTCCACATATTTGTCTCAGGAGTGGGTATGGATAAGTCATTTAAATCATGATGAGGAATAAGATAAGACCCAATTTAGTTCCATGGGGTACACCGGCATTGATTGGCAGCCAGTCTGAAAACGCCTCTTCAATTTTAACGCGTTGTCTTCGGGTTGAGAGGACGCTGATGATCTATGGTATAAGACATCGTCTAACGCGCCTAACCCTAACAATCTGAGCGCGATGCATACCAATTTAAATGGACCAGCAGTCAGTTTACGATGTGATCAAATTGCATAAAATTTACGTTATAGAAAAGATGGAACTGCGATTTTTTTCTTTTTCACAAAAACGTCCTTTCGTGTTAGAATGACGGATTGTTTTCAGAACAAAATTTCCCTCAACTAAATTTTTTTAATTCGAAAGCGTTGTCAAGTCAAAACATCACCGAACCGTTAATTGTTAATCCTAGCTGTAGCTTTTAAATTGCCAAGATCCAAGTTTCTTCTTTTACCATTTTTTTTTTATTTCTAACATTCTGGTTAGCGTTGACATGACAGTTAAGCAATCGGCTTTCAAAAACTCTTGACAATTTGATTTCGTGATTACTGATATTTACCTACCAAATGCCGGGTTTCAGTTCCACTTCGCTCATCTGAGGTGACAAACTGCATGGTTCTCAATTCACTCATTTATATTATATCAAGGAAATATCTAATCCACCAGATGGGGCTCATCAACTCAAAAGAAGAACGTCTTTTGTTTAAATCCTCGCTCATAATACTGTTAAAAGTTTCCATTTTCAAATTAAACAGATAGTACGACCGATGTGTAAATAATTTATCGTCCTCCTGTATGATTTATTTTTAAGAGGGATTTTCGTGAAATTTGACGAACACTTGGTTGCGAGATATTCGGCAGAATCGTTCTTAGAGTTAAACGAAAGAAACTCCAGTCTGTGTTTCTCACTGTTATGCTCAATGTATGCCTGTTACAGAAACTCTAGTAACAAGACTTCAAAATTAAGTTTTACCGTTACCCCTGACCTTGACTTACATGAAACCTGTTTTAGCACTACCGACGTGCGAGACTTCAACAAGTCGTCAATTTTAAACGTAACACTCAAGCGAGACCTTAAAATGCAAGAGACTGGCTTTAAAACTCGCCAGATTGGTCTACAACACATGATACGAGACCTGCATCTCTGTATCAAGATTTGCAGGCTGTAGGGGTGACATGGAGGTGACGGTAAAAAAAAGGCACTCAGAGCTCCTAACACATTCAAGGGCAGAAAGAAAGAATTAAAGTTTTATCAGTTAGTAATAAAATTGCAGGTGCTAAATTTCTTAATTGATCCGCTCGTTAACAAATCTATTTGCTTTTACTTAAGCCATGAAGCTTATGAACTTTATCCGTTTTATAATTATCGTTTGGCCTTACATGCACCTTTGTTTTAATGATGCTGTTCTCTGACTATAATCAAACAAAATTGTACACGGTTTGAAATAATCTAAAAACCCTTGTGAAACCAGCAGAAAATAAGTGCATACAACTGTGCAACTGTACGACTAAACCCTCGTAAATTAGGCAAAACTGCCACCTTCTTCGAGTTTGTCCGTCCGTGCAGAGTCCTTTTGCATTAATATTTATACCTTCTTTCATCCAATTTTGTGGCAGTCAGTTCTCACTTTTTGAATTTTGATGAATTTTCTAACACAGCTCCTCAAGTTGTTTGAGTTTACTGTAAACCCATAGTGCTTTTCATCGTTTTTATTAGGCTAGTCTGCAGTTGCCCAGAACTTGCTAGACTAACAGTTTTTCAAAGTTTATTTTGTTGTTTGTAACGTTTGATGCATTACTTGGGAGACATATTTGTTTGACACAAAGCTCTGATTTTGTCATTCACAAGTAATTTCGAATTCTAAGTAGAGGATATTACATGGCCGCGCGGGGATACGAATTTTATCTTCAAGTGCTTATAGTATTTCTCACGAGTGAGCTTCGCTCACTCGTGAGAGATAATTTCAGTACGAAATTCCTACTTAAAACACAACTTTTTTTCATTCATTTTCGAAACAGCAAAATAGTGCAATTAAAGTGGTACCGATGTGGAAATTTGGCAGTTCATCGAGAAAGTCACCGGTAACTGTACCGTCTTCGCACCTCGAAACCATTTTTGTACATGAAATTTCAAGAGAACCGGCCGCGCGCCTGAGCGGGAAGCTCTCTTGTAATTGGCTAATCATGTTAGTAACCATGGCGACACCAATATCCTCACACGTGGAAGATAAAAATAATATCTTCACTGCGCGCGATGAAGATATGATTTTTTAGTAAAAGGAAAGATCTTGGTATTTCATCAGTATCTATATGATAAAGCTTTTTAGCGAATAAGGACACAAAACTGTTATTGGGAAATTTGTGTTACGTATACGAAATCGGCTAGGCCTGTACTTGGAGGGAAATTTGCGGCTTAAAATCTATTAGCTACAATAGCTCATAGTTTAGAGGAAGTTTTCGTCATTTCATTGAGTTTATCGTCGCAAAGATAACAGGTGGAAGAAGGAGCTCGGGCGGAATAGAACTTCCTTGCAAGTACTTTGTCAAATTGGACCGAAGAAATCCAAGCCCCCGTAGTTCTTAGGCAAACAAAAAAATACGGGCTACTGTATCTTAATTTTAATTTTTTTGCTTTTATTTGAGGATAATTTCCAAGTACATGTCCTCGGGGGCTTATATTCGGCGGAGCAATTTAACGCAGGGTTGTTTGTGTTACGAGTTTGTGGGGCTTATTTTTGGCTTATACATGGAGGGGCTCATTTTCGGAATTTTACGGTGATATTAGCCTGTTCACAGACCCACTGTTTTCTCTTCAAAGTCCGTCGAACGGCGGTGATAAAATATAAACCGCAGGGGATTTATTGACCGCTTCCCTCGCGAGCTTGCCGATGTTTTCGAAAAGGAAAATAAAACAACGTCTGTGTACAGGCTACGGTGATATGTCCTAATCAAATTTTTCTTTAAAGACACGGCTGAAAAAATAGAAAAAAAAAATGTTTGAAAATGAAGTGCGTGAAATGCTTTTGTTTCCCAACAATCACTGATTAGCCTCCAAAAAGATTCTTTAAAAGCTGCTTTTCGAGACTATTATCAGGAAAACAATATCCACTGCTTCCCAGCGAGCGGGGGGTGTTTTTAATTAACATCATCTCACCTTGCCCTTTTAACAAGACTTTGACCTTACTACCAGCTCCTAAGGCCCCATTCATACCTGTCATGCTTTCATTTAGGTCACCCTACCAGCCAAGTCAACTTTATAAGCGAGCTTTTATACAGGAAAAAAGTCGAATCCACACGCTCTGAATGTCTAAAATAGCGCTCGCACTTTATCTAGTAGCCTCGCCTTGACTGAGTTGACTCGGCTGAGCGAGTCAAAGTGTTTATATGGAGAACAGTCTGCCCAGGTAGGAGAGTGACTCTTCTACCACGTGGGAAAACCTTTCTTCATATAAACGAGCTTTAGATTAATTTTTATTACACGTCGCCAAACGCACAAGCTTAGATCTAACTCATCACAATCTAGTCCTCTAGTTATTGCTCGTAAGAATAGCCATCAAAAAATGGAAACTGTTTCATTTGATCATACACTCTCTTTTTCTGCCGCTCTGTCCATTCTACGTAATCTCTAGTTATCGATGGAATTGGGTCTACAGTGCTGGCGCAGTCTTGGATATAATCCTGTGAACACGTGATTTCCAAAAAAGTGCATATCTTTCTCAAGACATCCGATGGTTGCTTTACTAGTTTCATGCTTGGGATGTCAATCACCTTTTCAGGGAAAGCCTCTCGAGTCTTTTTACATCCCGCCGCCCAGTGAAAATACCGAGTTATTTGGTCGTCTAAAGTTTGAGGGGCATTTACCTGTGGAGAAAAAATTATTGGAAAAAACAGTGTTTGAATCTATAAGAGCATAGTTAATAGACTGAAATGATTATGAAACCCCTTCAGACTCCTTTGTTATATGACTTGTTTTTGTGGACTTGACGGTGCACAACGTTCAATAGCATTCCCGGCATTTTGATCTTACTGACCAATAAAAACGTCCCATTAATTTATTCCGTTGCAATTTGCCAACAGAATACAAAGGATTGTGCACCTTCAGGGAGTTTCCAACATAAACTGCAGCACTGTGGTTTTTTATTTGATGTTTGTTGCCTAATAACTCCCCTAATAACTATGATAAGAGCAAGAGAGAATGAGGTTGATAAGAGTCATCCAATCAAACCACCAAGCTGCTCAATAATGACAATAATAGCTTAATAGTTAATAGAGTACTAAAGTGATGTCGTCATAAAAATGAAATTTCTGAAATTATGGGATTTGTCAGGATATTCTGAAAGAACAATGTCCAAGAGGCCTACTTGCCAAAAATGAGCATTTCGGGGCAAATTGTCTCTGAGATCGTAGCCCAGTTATATGGGGGGGGTCGACCCAATTTGCCCCGAAATGCCCATTTTTGGCAAGTAGGCCTCTTGGACATTTTTCTTTCAGAATATCCTGACAAATCCCATAATTTCAGAAATTTCATTTTTATGACGTCACACTTTAGTACTCTATCGGCCCTGTGTTCACTTATCACATTCGCTGCTAAAAAAATGACGGGTATGGGAATTGAATATAGCCTGTGGGTGTCAGCCGGGCGTTTTGAAACTAGTCGAGCGGTTTTGTGGTCACTGTCGTTCTATCAAGAGCTAAAAGAAGTCGTTTACAGGTCGTACACTTCGCCGTCCTCTGATCCACGAATGCGCAGAAAGCAAAAATTTCGAGTTTTTGGGTTTAAAAGTGACACAGCAGTCTTGACTTTTACTTTCGGCTTTCTCTCTCCCCTCTTTTTTCGCTTTTCTTGCCTCGTTTTTTTTTTCTCCTTTTGCTGGGCATTTATATTAAAAGGCTTCATTTTGGTGGGAAAAAATTTTAGGATCTTAGGAATGAAAGGAAATGTAGATGAGTAGTGGAACAAGATTTTTTTGACACTTTTCGGGTAAACGTTACATGTTTTTTTTGCCTTTCTCTCCCGGACCGGTGTCCTTGACTGAATTGTGCTCATTTTGGTATGGTCTGAAAGATCGCTTCACTCTGCACAAGTTATCGGACAAACTTGTCCTTGAGTATTAAAACTGATGACGTCATAAGCGGTAGAAGGCACGTCGATCCTCACGGGCGGTTATCTGCGGCTCAGGGGCGAATGGGTTAACAATATGGAACTTTATTACAGTACAAAATAACCGTTGAACGTTAATCATTAACAAACATTGCGTAATGTTTACAAACCTCTATTAAGCGGACACTTGGGAAGTTTCCGAAGGTGTCCGCCGGATAGAAGTTTCACTGTATAAACTTATTGCCAGCCCCCTCTCTTCCCATCCCCGATCGATCATACCTTTGAATCGTGTTTACCGTTTCGCATTCTGACGGTACTGTGTTCCAAAGTCATGGTTGCGAGATTATCGAATGGATTTCTCACCACATGAACAAACTTTACTTTGGCGTTGGAGGCTTTTTCCAAGAGATGCAAAGCATCAATTGCGTCATCCTGAAGCATTGCCCCAGCAGTAAATGCGCCCGACTTGTCACCGATCACCTGTCGATTGGAGAATGATTAAGTTTCATATAAGCGCCTGGGCTCAGTATGTGGACTGTTTTAGTATTGAATGGCTGATATTCATTGAGAGTTCATAAAGCGAAAGGACACTAAAAGATTTTTGCTCTTTGAGCGGAGCTCCACTCGTGGGCCTTAGTTTGACCTTAAAAGCTGCGGGGAAGGGGGCCTGCAAGGCGCCTCCCATTGATCCGCCATTGCATGATCTGCACGTATATATCCGTGGGGGGCTGGAAAAGTTCCTACCTGAATGTACCGATCGTAATTCCCCTGCCATTGATTAGGTACAGAATAACCATAATTAGAATCCTTGTTAACAACGCTTCCTTCGAACACACGAGATCGTCTCCCCGTCATCGTAGACTGCTTCGACGCCCTAAACAGCGTATCATAAAAGGAGTATATCGAACCATTCATCCACTGTTTTGGATTTCGCCGCCATCTTGGAAAAGCCATCGTCTCGTCTGAAACGACTATGTGTGGATGGGCGTCCAACAAAGACCCGAGGAGACTGTGGCGACTGCGAGGGTAGCCAATGAAAAACAAGATAGTGCTCACGTGTTTATAGGCTTCGTGTAGGTTAATTTGTGGCTCTCGTTCATCTGAAACAAGTATCAAATGAATAAGTCATAACTCACATATTGATAAATTTCTCACTTCAGGAATATCGGAAGTTAGCATGCCGTCTTCAGTTAAACACTTAATCTTGGTTTGCAACCACGTGACAAGGCGGCCATGGTGGTGATCAATGATCAATAAAATTACTTTCGAAGAATTTAAATGGAAATGGGTTTTAGTTTAATTCCTAGAGGTGAGAAATGTTTTTGTTCTCGACCATCGACATGGCCGCCATGTCGTCACCTGCAAACCAGCAATAAAGGACTTAAAACTAAGTATACAGTTGCAAGAACGATATTTCCAACTTTTGAAGGGAAAATCAGAAAGAACTGTTTTACAAACACTAAAATAAACGGGGTGTGTGTTGAACCGTCATTTAACATACAAGTTACTTAATATATAAATTACTAGCCAAAGAGGGCGAACAAAATTTTCAGACTTTACTGATATCCCCAGAAGGGGGATGGGGTAAGCTAATGGGCATGTGCTGTTGGATGGGGTCAAATTTTCATGACGGGATTGACTCTAATAGGGCTGTATTCTCAAGAGAGTTACTAGAACCGGGTCGTACCGTTTCGGGATTTTGGGGCACAGAAAATCCAGGTAGGTAAGGATTTAAACATTACGACATTAAGGTTGACAAATATGACATTTTTTTAAATGACTAAGTTAGAAAATGTCTAATATGGGATCGCGAATATTACATTTTCCAAACAGTGACTAAGATTGGGCCTATAATTAGCCACAGAATAGGCTATAATGGGGTAAGGGTTATGAGAGGCCAGCGGCAAATACCCAGCAAAAATTAACCCAAGTAAACCCCTCGCCCTGGCTCTGATATCTTATCCGCATGGTAGCGCAGTTTAGTCTAAAAATGTTCGGTTGTTCTATGACTCTTAACGAATTGTAACTTTCCAGCTTAGTTCATGTGTTCTTTGGTTGCCACTGGATTTCATCCCTGATCAAAGACTTTTTTTAAGGTAGTTTTCTTAGCTTGTTGTCATACCGTTTGATGCCCTCTCTTCTTTTTTGTCTCGATCTTTGTTTGGAGAATCGGCCTCGTGTTTTTTTCGTGCCGAATTTTCTATCAACAAGGAATCCGCAATAGGGGTGTCTCCTATTAACAAAAACAAAGTTAAAGTGGATTACGTCATGTTATACACAACATGTTTGGATTAAAAAAACGTTTACAGGGGAATTTAATCTTTATATTCAATTCTTTTGTTGTTGTTTTTTTCTATCCGTCTGCTTCAAAAGGATAGAACGATCGTCTCCGGAATAAACGTCGGTCTTCACATGGGACGAACTAAAACTAATAAATGAAAATTTGTATGATAATGTATATTTAGCCTCGTTCGGGATAATATTTATTAATGAACACCCGCTTGTCGGTAGCCTGCGTGGCAGGCGTTTGAAAAGGAAAGGAAAGAGGGGTTTTGGGCACGAGGGAAACACAAGGGGCGTGCAAGGAGGGAGGGAGTGAGGGAAACGCCTGCCGGGAAACCATTGTTTTCGACATCCCGCCTACTAATTATGTATGCAAAAATAACGCAAACTGTGAATGACTAGCTGTCAAATAAGTCTGGCCGCTATGAGATATGTCCAAGTTTGCACGCAGTAGAAAAAATTGCAGTTTTTGTTAAAATTAATTAAGTCAAGTGTTAGAGCCGGGTACAAGGGTGCCCAGCAAAAACTGCGATTCTGCAATTTCTCCAAAAAAATGCGAAAAATTGGAGAAATCGCAGTATTTGCTAAAATTAATTAAGGCAAATTAATTAAGTCAAGTGGTACAGGAGGTAGAAGGGTGTCCAACAAAAACTGCGATTTCTCCAAAAATTTCGAAAAATTGGAGAAATCGCAATTTTTGCTAAAATTAATTAAGGCAAATTAATTAAGTCAAGTGGTACAGGAGGTAGAAGGGTGTCCAACAAAAACTGCGATTTCTGCAATTTCTGCGATTTCTCCAAAAATTTCGAAAAATTGGAGAAATCGCAATTTTTGCTGCTGCGTGCAAACCTGGACATAAGTGGCCGTGATACACTTATTTTCAGTCGTGCTGTTTTTCTCGCTTAGTGTTTTCCTAAAACAAGAAATCTGAAGAAAAGGTAATATAAAATAAAAAAGTAATAATATTATAATATAAAAAAGTTCAAATGCGGTCCTCGGTTGAAAGAAGAAAGTTGCAACGATGCGTGGCTTGTTATATAAAATCCCCCCGGCAGCAAAAATCTATGACGTCGTTTGCTGAAGGAATCGCGCTGGACTTCGCAACTTGCATGCAATGTTTGTCCGAGAAAAATTAAAAACACTTTAATTTGCTGACTCTCGAATTGGATCCAGCAGAGCATACAAAAGAATGATGGTAGCGGGGAAAGAATTGCTGAACTTCGAAGATCTACAAGAAAGCTGCAATAAATTATTTAAGTACTACTAGGTTCCTGGCGGCTTTATAACGTCTATAACCCGCAAGAAGAAGTCCTCAAATCAAAAACCGTGAAGGATTATAGATCGCTTCGTCTTCAATAATCTGGTCGTTGATAAAGCATAGCCTGAGCGGTAGGCGTTTGAGATCAAACAGCAGATAACAAGCACAAAGACCGCATGATTTTTCCTCTCTTTCTTCTAGTGAATAAAACAAGCCGTTGTGAGATGAGATTTCTTAAAACCAGCTGTCGGTAAAACTCATCTAGCTGACAGCTCTTTTCCTTTAAACGGTGCTTTTAACTGCTTTCTTCTCTTCTCCTTTGAAGCTGAAATTGATGCCTCCAGTTTCTAATTCTAACGATGAATTCCGTACAGAAATCCCATTACACTTAATAATAATAATAATAATAATAATAATAATAATAATAATAATAATAATAATAATAATAATCCATTTATATAGCGCCTTTTCTACAAGATTCAAAGGGCCGTTGTTTACAAAAATTGGATAAAACTAAAAGTAAAAATAATCACAAGAAATTGACATTAAAACTAGACGCTAACTGCAAAATAGATATAAATGTACTCAATAGATAAAAAATCAGATAACAAATAAAAACATCACGATTCATAAGCTCGCATAAAAAGAAATGTTTTAAGTTTGCGTTTAAAATCATCAATTGAGTTTGCAGATTTAATATCCTCAGGTAAGTTATTCCAAAGTTTCGGAGCAGCAACAGAAAAAACTCCTTTACCATACGAAATGAGATTATAATAGGGTTTAACTAATAAATTTCTATTAGAGGATCTAAGATTGCGGCTGGGTGTATACAATTGAAGGAGCTCCTTTATATAGATTGGAGCTCGATCATGTATATACTTTGTAAGTAATTAACATAATTTTAAATTCAATACGAAAGGAGACAGGGAGCCAGTGAAGTTCCCTCAGGACTGGAGTAATATGGCAAAATCTTGGACACTGGTTGACAACATATAATGATTACTGAAAGATCGATTACTCAGTAGCGTGATGTTGATTTCAACCAGTCAGATAAAGAAAGGCTATGATTGACTTGTTTTGAAGACTAACCAATAAAGATTTTAACTTTCGCCTGGTGGATGTTAAAAACGAGAAAAACAAGGTCTCCTGGCAGGCGTTTCCTTCCCTCTCTCCTCGCGCGCTCCTCGCGTTTCTCTCGCGCCTAAAACTCCCTTTCCCTTCCCTTTCAAACACCTGCCACGCAGGCTAGCTTGTCGGCTGAAATTGCTTTTTGGTCTGTTTCAGTTGATTGGTTGGACGCGTCCCTAGTTCGACGTCAGACCCGACAGACGATCTTAATTTAGGTCGACCCAAATTACAATTTTGTTCGTCTCATGAAAAGTTCGACGTTTTGCCTAGGCCGTAGTGCAGCGCAGTTTGAAGATTTTTGTTCATTTAAATTAAAGCAAATGCGTACGTTTAGGACGGACCATTAGAAAAGTTATGGGGGAAAGGAGGGGAGCCGCAGGAATTGTTTTTCGTTATCAAATTCCCTGTATGAATTTCTTTTTTTAGGCCATAGCATGAATATTTTTCAGGATTTATCGGCGTGAATGATTTTTTTTTTCATTTAGTTGTCCCTTGCGCGAATATATATATATATATATATATATATATTTATTTATTTTTTCCTTCGGCCTCCCCCCCCCCCCCCCCCACTTTTTTTTTTTTTTCTTGTTCTTTTTTTTTTTAAAAGTCCTTTTTTTAGTATGAGATAAACATAAAAAGCCCCACCCCAATACCTGCCACACACACCACTGTTTCCCCCCCCATAAGTTTTTTAATGGTCCGTCCCTTATTTTGTGACAAGTAGCCTTGTTACAAGAGAGAAATCAGTAAATCAGGCTCCCCCATGTAACTGCAATCCAAGACACTGTTGGATTCTGGATTCCATGCCGTGGACTCCGGACTCTAGGCTTTTAAAACGAGTACAGCTGGGATAAAAAATTAAAACTGCGGCGGCAGATGTTTTGTTCTGATAGTGGCGATTTATCAGGCTTATTGTAATGAGCCATTTTTAATTACTCACCAGCGTGTTGCCTTACGATGGCCATTCCCGTCACATAACGAGGTTGCTGATTTATCCACATGACAAAGCCAACAGACGCGATACTGAAGCCAATCATTACACCAACGAAAATGTTTTGAAACTTGACAACTGTCCTTGGCAACATGGTGGATTCTGTAACGGAGAAAACCAATGCTTATTTAACCAATGTAACTTAAAATCAGGGTCTGGTACGATTACAAACAAACGATGGCAGTAAATTCATAACTTAGACAACACCACTGTAACGTTTGTTACAACTAGCCTTGTTACTTGTACTCGGTATAAACGTGATGTTCGATATGCTTTCCTTTTGTTAGTGGTGTATTCTGAGACTTTGGAAATAAACGTAATCTCCGAAGTCCTAAATGACCGGAGCAACCTTAAAAGAATAATTGGGTGGTCTGACCATTAAATTCACTTACCCTCGTAAACCTTAATATCAAACTTTAAATTCTCATTAGTTATCAAGCAAATTCAACTTGT